TTTCTCTTTCAATATTTTTTTCTGCCAAATATACTTCTACATTTCTGTAAGGGACAAAATTCACAAGCCATGAAGGGGAATTTAGTTACCGCTTATTGCTAAATTATACAATCTAAACTGCCTCTTTGTTACATGAAACAATTTGGAAGAATACTGCAATATGACACCACAATTATACTGGATGATGCAACATGTTCTAGAATTGTCTAGTAAAGAGTATTTAAAGAGATAAAAGAGAGAAAGCCAGAGTGAGGTAAAAAGAAAAAAAAATCAACTGTAAAATTTAAAACTGTATAAAATGTTGGGAGTTTATAAATACTCTTCAATCAAAATGACAATTAACAAATTTTCATTTACAATTATATTTTAATCATAATCACTTTCACAGAACTCTGTTATCTTTAAATTTCATCCAATTTTGAGATTTCTTTTCTACAATATTTTCTTTACCCAGTCTACACACACACACACACACACACACATACACACACACAGCACAACTATGTGACTTATCACTTCCTGAAACTTCATTGATTTCATTTATTGAATTATACTCTAACAAGACCAAGATGAACCAGATTAAGGCTCCAGCCTCAAAAACCTCTCTTACTGACTGGAAATATCTGAATTATCCCTGAACTCAATTCACTAATATCTCACTTTATCATCTGATGATGAAATCTGTTTGCAATCTCACATTCTCCTTCTTATATATTTGTTCCTTTCTAGACTCATTGCCATGGTCCTGGTTCATATCTTTATTTCCAGAACTACTGAAATAGTTCTAAGGTACTCCTTACTTCCAACCCCATCTATTTTCATTAGTTTCTCCTGATCTCAAATGAGTTCCAATATCCTCTAGAATTAAAGTCCGTTTTTACAATGTATCTTTCAAGTTTTTGAAAAAAGAGTTACAATCCCTTCTATTTTACCATCCTACCCCTCCCCACCATCCTACTCATAAAAATACTATCTCTAGCTAAATTAATTTGCTCATCATTTTCTGAGCAAGCCATGTATTCATCTGTGTACTCCCTCCCAGAATACATTTCCACAGTAGAGTCTTTGCCTCGTGCAATTCATCCTTCTGACTTAAATCATGCAATATTATGCAATATTAACCATTACGTTTTTCCTGACCATCCTAGCTATAAGGCATAGAAATCACATAATTTAGAGCTGGAAGGGTCCTAAAAATTCCTCACCCGGTGATTCTAAGCCAGCAGTTACTATACTTCTAAAGAGATATGGTGGACCTAAAGGTGGACCCTCATAACATTTATAAGAACTCATTCTTCTTCAGTTCTTCTGTATGCAAAAAGAGTATGCCAGGATTCTCTTTCTGACTCTAAGTGCAGGATTTGGATTCTGCTTCTCCTCTTCCTGACTACACTTACATACTTTTATATTTTTAAAATGTACTATATTTTATTAATTTTCTTGCATTTTATAATTATCCCAATTAAGGTTAAGAACAAATCTTTAAACTACAAGTATAGACAGTTTAGACACTGCACTACTGTCCAACAATGGTAGCAACTAGCTATGTGTTATTAAATTTCATTAAAATTAAAAATTCACTTCCTTAGTCTTAAGAGCCACAGTTCAAGGGCTCAATAGTCATATGTGACCAGTGGCTGCCAAACTGGATAATGTGGATATATTACTTTTGTTTAGTTAAAAAAATGTTTTAGGGGCGCCTGGGTGGCTCAGATCGTTAAGCGTCAGCCTTCGGCTCAGGTCATGATCCCAGGGTCCTGGGATCGAGCCCCGCATCAGGTTCCCTGCTCGGCGGGAAGCCCATTTCTCCCTCTCCCATTCTCCCTGCTTGTGTTCCCTCTCTTGCTGTGTCTCTCTCCGTCAAACAAATAAAATCTTTAAAAAAAAAAATGTTTTAGAAGTCAGGAAGTTTTTCTTGTATTTTGCTTTATTTTACTTTATTTCTTTTTTTTTTTTCCAGATACCTCCTTCAACTTTGGTCTCTAACTCAAACCTGTTCTCTTTGTCAGCACCCCATGCTCCACATCTCTCCTGTTTTCCTACCTCTCCCCTTTTTAAAAAATTGTGATATATTTAATTGACATATATAGTTTCAGGTGTATAACAAAATTATTCGGTATTTGTATACATTGCAAAATGATATACAATGCAAAATGACATTGTCAAATGATCACAAGTCTAGTTAACATCCATCACTACACATAGTTAAAAAAGTTTTATTTCTTGTGATTAGAACTTTTAAGATCTACTCTTTTAGCAGCTGTCAAAAATACAATATGGTATTTTTTTTAAGGATTTTATTTATTTGAGAGAGAGAGGAAGCACAAGCATGGGGAGAGGCAGAGGGAGAGAGAAAGGGAGAAGCAGACTCCCTGCTGAGCAGAGAGCCCGATGCGGGACTCGATCCCAGGACCCTGGATCATGACCTGAGCTGAAGGCAGACATTTAACCAACAGAGCCACCCAAGTGCCCATCACAATACAGTATTTTTTTTTTTTAAGATTTTATTTATTTGACAGAGAGAGACACAGCGAGAGAGGGAACACAAGCATGGGGAGTGGGAGAGGGAGAAGCAGGCTTCCCGCTGAGCAGGGAGCCCAATGCGTGGCTCGATCCCAGGACTCTGGGATCATGACCTGAGCTGAAGGCAGACGCTTAACGACTGAGCCACCCAGGCGCCCCACAATACAGTATTATTAACTATAATTGCCATGCGGCACAATACATCCTCATGACATCTATTTTTTTAACTAGAAGTTTTGTATCTTCTGATCACCTTTACCCATTTTTAAAATCACAAAGATTCTACTGTTTGGTGGAAGAATGCCCCCAGACTTCCCATATTAAACCCAGGACTAACTGATACTGCTTTTGAAGCATATCCCATTTCTTAGTCCTCAAGAATTGTCATGGAGCCTGCACCTGTGAACTAACAGGTAACAAAATCTGAGCTTTGAGACTCATGAACTCTTAAAGTGATCAAGTGGAATGGGGTCCATGTTTTTCCCACAAACCTTAAAAATGGTATTTCTATTCTAAACTAGCAGCAGTCATGTGGATGGATAGAGAACAAGAAAGTCCTAACATCTCCCTTCCTTACCAAGAAAAGGATCTGAGACCACGTTTACCCCACTCTAATAACAAGTCCCTGATGTAGTAGAGCCAATGTCAGATTAATATGGGTCATCTGGTGCCACTATGAAAGCCATTTTGGATATTGAAGGTCTCTAAATATGATAAAAATCAGAATTCTACAACCCGTAAAGAGAATGGAAATCCAACTACCCTAATTAGTCCCATAGAGATAGATTCTCTGGAAAACAGGTGTAGGATACGAGACTAAGAAAAAAGGCCAGCCTTACATCAGTGCCACCTGCACATGCTATCTCAGTGCATCAAAACAGGTTATAACAACACAGGCTATGTCTTCTACTGCTTGTTTGATGGACTTGGCATTAAACGGTAATCCATACAGCAAGCTCTACTGAGCTAGCTTGATTGCTGTACTCCTTTGATCCAGAGTGCTCTTTGTTCTTAAACAATCTCTCTAAGGAATCTATGGTTTCATCCCTATAGTCAGTGTTACCTCTTCCATTATTATCTCCGGGGTCTCCCTGCCCTTGTAATAGACTCAGCCACAACGCTTGATTTTCTTTTTTTATTTGACAGCTTGTTCTAATTTCTACTGCAGTCCACTCTTTTATATTTGTAAATCCATCCAAATCCTATTCCCAAGTTCCAATGCTTTAATAACTGAATGAAATCCTATTCCATATGGACTGTATATCAAAAACAAGTGTTAACATTTAAACTGATTCCTAGACTCATTGATATCGTTTGTCCAAATCAGGATTTCTCGGAATTTACAGCCTCTAGAATCACGACCATAGCGGTATGTCCCTGCATTTGGGCTAAAGCCATTCCATACCCCCATTTTGGCCCAATATGGCCAAATGGCCTATATGCTTCATGCACAGCTCAGCCCAAATTATAATACTTCCTTCCACTAATACAAATTCTACATCTTTCCCAAAAACCATTTTAAGTCTTTCTTTCTATGTGAAACCTTCTTTAACTGCACACAATCATTGTAGATTTCCGGCTCATCTGACCTCTTATAAAACCTGCATTTAGTTCCACACATTGATTATGTATGCTAATAATTCCCCCCCAATTTCTTGAAGGCAGTGGCTCATTTATTCATTTACTCAGTCATCCAACTTTTATAAAAATGTATAAAAGTCACTCTCCCAGATGATAAAGGTACAATAGGTAAATAGGCTTCTATTCCAAATCTTAAAGGGCCCACAATTTACAGAAGAGTACAGAGTAAGAATGCAAAATACACTTGATTGACTAACTCAGGTGGTAACTACGGGAAGGAAGAAATTCTTCAATTGTTTATAATTATGATGTAAATAAAAGGCTCTGGGGAAGTGGTATTTAAAATTCCATTTTCAAGAAAGAACAAATTGAACTTCAGTGTTATCACAGGTATAAGAATCAGCCAGGTTGTTCTGAAGGGTGGGTGGGTGTAGAGGCAGGGCTTAGAATAAAAGAGAAGTAGATGATTACATAGAGAAAGATGGCTTTGTTGCATGAGAAAGCGAAGTGGAGTCAGCAGAGGAAGAAGAAAAAGGTAGCATGCAGAATGAAAATAATCATGAAAAGAAGAAACTTTATTGATACATAAACATAGACAACCATGAAAACATTCACTGCCATTCACTTTGGGAGGAGGAGTTCAGTGACACAACAGTGGACAGAAACCATCATCTAGTTTCATGGATTAGGGCTCACTGGAAGTTGCAGGGGCTGTAAGGACTATAGAGAGTCCTATAGAGAAATTAATACAACCAACATTGATGAGTCAAAGTTATTTTAAGGCAAAACAAATGTACACTCAAAGGGCACCCTAGGAACATTTTAACGTACTCTCCTATTTTAAAGTATGCAAGGAAAGAATCCATTTACAAATTGAGAATTCCTTAACTTTTTACCTTTTTGTAGATGAGTCCAATTACGGCCGTCTTAATTTTTGCTGAAGTGAGCATGTTAAAACGTTGGTATTGCTGAAGGATCAAGGTTTGCAAAAAGACTACAACAAAAAGTGCCAAAGCATAACCATAGCCACTCCATCCAAAATCTGGGCGATGTTCACAGAAAATGATCATTTGCCTGAACGTCATATAGAAATTGAGAAAGGGTAAGAAATGTTAAACATCTAAAGTAGTTAAATGCTTATGAAAGTTAAATGTCAAAATGTTACACACACTCACATGTTTACCTGCTCTTTTTCTCTTCTTGTCAATTTGGCTTCTTCCCCCCCGCCCCTTTATTTTTTATTTATTTATTTTTTTTAAGATTTTATTTATTTATTTGACAGAGAGAGACACAGTGAGAGAAGGAACACAAGCAGGAGGAGTGGGAGAGGGAGAAGCAGGCTTCCCGCGGAGCAGGGAGCCCAATGATGCGGGGCTCGATCCCAGGACCCTGGGAACATGACCTGAGCCGAAGGCAGACGCTTAACGACTGAGCCACCCAGGCGCCCCCCCCCTTTATTTTTAATTCAAGTATTATATAAAGTACATGGAATCAACAGTTACTTTCAGAGGCTTCTGAGTACAAGGTTAATTTCTAGTTTTCATATGGTAATCTCACCAACTGTTCTGGTCTAACTTCATCATACAAGTTGAGACACAAAGACCTTTAAAGCTTCTTTTTTATCATAATCATACATTTTGTTAAATATAGGGAAACATGACAGAACATTAAGTAGTGAATCTCTCAGAATGGCACACAGTTTTTTCAAAGGCCTGAATTATATCTCACTTCTTATTACTTTTATCCATATCCAGTTTCTCTCTACTCTATCTTCCCTTATTTTCTCTTAAGTTTGGCGATAGCATGGTCATGATGATCATGGTCAAGGCTGGGGTACAGCTAGACAATGGGGATAGTTCTAATCCTAGCTCCCTTGGTTGCTTATTGCCCTTCAACTGTAAACACTGGTTAAAATGCCTTATGTCATTGTTAATACTATATACATGCTCTCAACTTTTTTTAAACTGCATCTGTGTGACTAATAATAATACTAATGTAAAAAGTCTACATATACTCTACATCATGGTGAAAACAACTTGGATATATTCTCTCAGATACTACAGATTAATATGTCATTTATTTTGCAGGCTCAATTCTTGGTTGGTTGAAGTAGTTCCTGTCATTTATTTTATAGGTAAAAAGTATAATATTAGATGTTTTAGAAATGTACATTTTTTTTACTCTGAGTTCTGGAAATGCAGAAACGTGCTTGTTATTGTAAACAGCAATTTTGAGTTAACTTAAGATTATAACCAGAAGGAAGCCACGTGTAATTAGGTAAGACCATATCTATTTAAGAACATTGACTTTAAAAACTCATTCTTTATGTGAGTTTACGTTTTTAAAGTTTACATTTTTAAAAAATAAAAAATTAATGTCTAAGCCTTGATCTATTTTATTTGCAGCTTGGACAACTTATGGGTAAAAAAATTAAAAGCAATTGTGTTTCCCAAATTGCTTTATAAACCAAATACTTCAAGAGATTAACTTTACTGGAATTGTACTTTGGAGTCAAATATATACCAGTGTTTCTAAAATTACTATTAAAACCTCTAGTCACTGAATATTATTGAGAGCATTGTGTATTCTCAATGACAGTATTGAATTATACCACAGCCCACCTACATGAAATAACAGGAAATTCTGTATCTCTTAGTGGATCTCTATCAGATGCCTTCCATTGGGACACCAAATTATTTTTACAAGAGCAACTTACTAAATGTCTTCTTGGTCTATGAATTAAACTTTCTGAAAGAGGTGCACTATTCTTCTTATTGTGGATATATACCAATTGGACTTTTTTCCTTTCTCATAAAATCAAACTAAATGACTATCAACAGGTACCTTAGTGGTTCTACACATATAAATCAGGAAATATTAAAAATAATTTGTGATCAAGAAATGGTGAAGACCGTAAAACCAAAATCATCATATTGGTTATGAATACTCATTGGTTTGATGAATATAATAATAAAATTCATAGAAAATGGGAAAGAGTAAGCATAACAATCAACAAGAAACATTTCTTCTAATAGTATGTTAATGAAAGTATTATTTTTATATGTTTGATTACTACACATGAGTCATGATAACACAATGTATTCTCATCCTTAAAGATAGTAGTCTCTAGTAATTTCCCTTATCAAAAGGAAAAATATACATCTCAAAATTAGCTTATAAAATTAGCTCCCCCAGGCTCAGTTTATGATCATATAAACTCATAAAATTCTTTATGTTTCAAGTTTTTATTTAAATTCTAATGTTAAACCCATAAAATTATTTCTGATCATTTAATCGTCAATGTGGAAATATTAAGGCTATTCAGCTACTCTAGAATGAGAATCTCTTGAAAAAGTGTGACTTTGGATAAGCCCATTTATTCAGTATTCCATTCAGGAAATGTATTTGAGTTCTACGTGCCAGGCTCTGTGCTAGGCAATAAGGACACAGACACTGAGTAACACAGAATCCGTTACCATGAGGAGCTCATAGTTTAGGCAGGATAAAAGATACATCAACCAACTGATTTCAATGCAATATTGACATTACTATTTTGCAGGTATGGTCAGGCTAGTGTGTTACAAAAGTGTGTCACAAAATTAGGGAGACCATTCCTTACCCCATAGACAAGGACTTAGTAATTATTTAGCACCCTGTAGACTGCAAATATTTGGAGACACTGAATTACCATGACCTGTAGCTATTTTAGAAAAAAGTGGCCACAGTGAGATTCTAGAATGAGTTTTTTGAGCAGTAGACATTGAAAACTAGGAATCAGAGCATGACTAAAAACGGCTGGGAATCTCTTGCTACTCCTTCCACTCAGAAGTCAAACTTAACCATTCTAAGTCTCCTCCCCTTGGATCTGGGCTGATTTAGGGGCTTGCTTGACCAAAATAATGTGGCAGAAGTGACATTCTGGGGCTTCCAAGCCTAGATCATAAAAAGATTTGTCTGAGCCTCTTGGCATGTTCACTCTGAAAAAAATCCAGCTGCTATGTAAGCAGTTCAACTGCTCTGAGACTTCTGTGCTCAAGCTAACCATTTGGAGAGGCTTGGAGAGAGAGAGAGACAGACAGACAGACAGACAGAGATGGATATCTGGCTATCTTAGCCCAGGCATGAATATGTAAGCTAAGAAGCCATCTTGGACATTCCAGCACCAGCACACATAAAAAAGAACCAAGGTAACCCAGCTGACAGCCGAAACCAAGGCCCCAAACATTCGTCTCTACTTGAACTTCTAGAGCTATCGCCTGCCGAGCTAATCAGCTAGGGCCCTCATCATGGTGGATCAAAGAAAATCCATCCCTCTCTGAAGTTCAGATCCATAAAATCATGCCTTGTTTCTGTAGCTTAGTGGTTATCATGTTTGCCTCATAGATTTTGGTGGGAACATAATAAAATGATCATTATTTTATGCCACTAAACTTTGACAATCCTAATACTACAGCAACAGATCATGGTGATCTGTTGGGCAGGAGAGGAAGATGCTGGTCAATACATTTCTAAGAGCTAGATTTCTGGCCACAGATGAGAGAACTCTATGGCAACTCCTTAAAAATAGCTGTGAGATACAAAGGCGAGAGGCAGGGGCAGGGGAAGAAGAGCTATGTTACCTTGTCTGTGGGGGGTTTTAATCCAGGAGACATTTGGCTTATATTTCCATAACATAGACATAGACAAGGGAGCCAAACAGACCTTGGCGTGAAAAATGACAGGTGCACATTTTCTGACAAAAAAGGGACACCTTCGGGCGCCTGGGTGGCTCAGTTGGTTAAGCGACTGCCTTCGGCTCGGGTCATGATCCTGGAGTCCCGGGATCGAGTCCCGTATCGGGCCCCCTGCTCAGCGGGGAGTCTGCTTCTCCCTCTGACCCTCTTCCCTCTCGTGCTTTCTATCTCTCATTCTCTCTCTCTCTCAAATAAATAAATAAAATCTTTAAAAAAAAAAAAAAGGGACACCTTCTTGCCTTAGATTCCCTGACACCATGCTCTCTTGGTTCTCCTCTCTCTGCACTAAGCACTCCTTCTCCTTGTCCTTTGGTGGATTTCCCTGTCTTCACTAACTCCACAAATTGGAATAGCTGGATTGTTTGTCTATAGATGTCTTTACTTCTCCTTATCCATGCTAAGGTGGTCTCATCCAGAAAAACAGTTTGTCATACCCAGTATAATTTGGAACAGTTCCCCAGTTTATTACTCCAGCCAATATTTTTGTTAACTCCAGGCTTATGTAGACAATTACTCATTCAATCTTTTTGGATTGGCTAGATAACTGTCAGGGATCCCCAAGGCCACTCCCTAGTTAAATGATACATTAGAAGGACTTGTAACAGTCAGCATCTAGTCATACTAATGACTATGACTTATTATGTTGAAAGGATACAAAAAAAAAAATCAACAAAGAGAAAAGATACATGGGTCCAGGAGAAAACAGATACAGGCTTCCAAAAGACCTCTTTCAGTAGGGTCACCCAAAACACACAAAAAACCCTTGCATATAGATATTGAAGAAATATCAAGGAAATTCTTCAAACATTATGTCTCTCTCTATGTATATGTGTGTGTATATATATACGTATGCATTTATATTTATTTATATTTATATATCACTACCCTGGCTGATAAAAGTTCAACTCCCAAAAGGCCACAGCTAAGAAAAATAGTAAGGGTATGTACCATTTCATTTTCTAAATATATACTCAAGACAGACTTCCTAGTTTTTAATCATAACTCTGGAATTTTCTAGCTGTGTGAACTTAGGCAAATTACTTGAACCTCTTTTTCTGCATCATGATAGTGAGTGTAATAATATTTCCTGTCTCATAGGATTGTTGTAAAGATTAAATAAGATAATTAATATAAAGATTTTAGAACAGTGTTTAGTACACGGCTGACTTCAGTAAATATTGACTATATTACCATCATTCACATTTGTATTATAGCAAAACTTAACAGAATGTCCATATCCTACATAAAATTTGCAATAAGGACCTTCCCTATTCTTTTTTAGTACAACTTTGAGAGTGGAACCCTTGCTTATCATTTACCTGTTTTTTAGTACAACTTTGAGAGTGGAACACTTGCTTATCATTTACCTGTGGGGAGATTAAAAAAAAAAACAAAAAACAAAACAAGACTACAACTTACTTCATTATGAGTGGGCTAGTGAAGGACAAAATATCAGCAAACACTTTGAATAAAGCAACTTGAATCAGGACAAACTTAAAGGTGTTCCACAATGCATAGACCAGAGATGGTTTCCTGGCATGTGCCTCTTTATGAAAGGGTGCCTACATAATGAAAGAAAATAAGAAACAATGAGAAAATTGGATAGAGCTAATAGAAGTAAAAAATGAAATATATATATAAACCAGCCATAAAATTAGTAATGTACTCCAAAGATAATAAGGTAAGAAGGGATAAATTCAATTAAACTTGAAAATATGACCTATATCATTGGAACTGTATGTCTCCAGACCACCTGGTATTATTTACACCACGTGGTACAAATGGGCAAGAGAAACAGTTGTATTTTATTACTTTTGTGAATGCTGAAACTGTTTCATTAATATAATTAATTAATATAAATACAGTTTTATCTTCAAATTGTATTTTCTTTTTGGGAATTCTAAAAAGGATATATATGTGTGTATATATGATACTAGATAGATAAGGAGTAACCGTCCCTGCCCCATAAACTTTGGGCTTGATCACCATGTTATTAATTGGACCAACAGATGTGAGGCCATGAGATACAGAAACCATCTTTGCCATGATAGTTGAGCAAAAGATACTGGTAAAAAGCCAAAGATAACATATCAACACATTGTTCCTAATATTAAAGGGAAGGTTTGCCGAATAATTTGATGACAGAAATTCGTTGCAATAACAACCAACTGTACTTATGAAAATGGCTTGTCATTGCACATATTTTAAGGACTTTCTAAATTCATAATAATAATATCTCATGTTTGGAAGAACCTCTTTCTAGTTTTAGGTAGTAATTAGGTACTTAGGTTTTAAGAATTAATTACCTTCACTTCTTGCCTCTCTTGAATCCTTAAAACTTCCTTCCTCCATTGTTTTTCAAAGATGGGACACACAATATAGGAAGAATCACTTTCATTTAGTTCAAAAAGATCCTCTCTTTCCAAAGGTCTCTTATAGCCTAAAACAATTATTCTAAAAATGAAAGAGTAAGGTAAACAATTCAGCAAAACCAATAATCAAGTTAAAAATAATTTTGCATGCATTTATTCTTTGATTTATAAATTATTTTTTAAATCAGGATGCAATGACTAGATTGTATTGTGAAAAATCATACAACATATCCTGCAGTTCAATAATGTGCAATAATCATTTGTAGCTTTTAGAAGAATTACTTGGATATCCAATTATTCAGTGAAACACTAACTTCCTTTACTCATCTCATATTGGAGGCACCTACTACTTTACCTCCCTTACTGAAATTTTCATAGCTAACTTTCACAGTCAGGTGTTCACTTCAAAACCCCAACTCCTGGGGCACCTGGGTGGCTCAGATGGTTAAGCGTCTGCCTTCGGCTCAGGTCATGATCCTGGAGTCCTGGGATTGAGCCCCCGTCGGGCTCCCTGCTCAGCGGGGAGCCTGCTTCTCCCTCTCCCGCTCCCCTTGCTTGTGTTCCCTCTCTCGCTGTGTCTCTCTCTGTCAAATAAATAAATAAAATCTTAAAAAAAAACCAAAACCAAAACCACAACTCCTCTGTCTTGTATCAGAGGAGAAAGGGATCCAACCTCTGCATTTGCAACTTCTCCTATTCCACTGGGACATTATATACCCTTTGCCCCTTGACTTGACAAATTGTCCAACTAGATGTAGAGTACCTGTCTCTGCACCGTAAATTTTAGCCTTGGCCATACGACCTACTTTGGCCAACAGAATATGAGCCAGTGTGACAGTGCTGTTTCTTAAAATGCCTTAAGGAGTATGGCAAGTTACTGCACGTCTCAGTTCTTCTACTCTCCCCCACTCAGTGAGTTTACCCCAAAGGACACTGTGAATAATTATGCAAGAACAATGGGTCTACATCAGGACTGTCCCTGGCAAACTATGATTCATGGTCTAGTTACACCACAAATGTTGTGGCAGACAATAAATAATACTTACAGCCATTCTTCTGCCCCATCATCTTCTTACACCAGGAATGTGGTACTTATTCAGGTGAAAATCTCTCAAACTCAGGGTAAGTCCTTATCCCAGCCAGAGTCATAACTTATGATTGGTCTAAAGTAGTCCTGGTAATCTCAGTATCTTTTGCTTAGGATTAATAATTTAACTCAGTTATGGTTAGGGATACCTAAACACAAGTCTGCTGAGGAGAACTTTCTTTTTCAAAAGGAGGTACAAAACTTCAAGAGGAGAAAATGTTTTGCCTCCTTCTTCCTTTCCCTTCCCCCTTTCTGCCTGCACTGGAGGTATAATGCTCGGACACAGAGAAGCCAACTTTGCCACCACCGGCGAAATGCCAAATAATAAGGAAGGGAAGTGGAAAGGCAGAAAAACTCTGGGCCCCTTATATCATAGTTTACCCGCTTATTCCTCGCGTTCTGCCCAATAACCAGAAAATAAATACCTATTTGTTTCAGCTGTTATTATTTGGCTACTCTGTTGCTTGATATGTTCCTTGTTTTTTTTTTTTCTTTTTCTTTTCAAATTTTTATTAAATTCTAGTTAGTTAACATATAGTGTAATATCTGTTTTTGGAGTAGAATTTAGTGATTAGTTATACTTACGTATAACACCTGGTGCTTATCATAACAAGTGACCTCTCTAATACCCATCACCCATTTAGCCCACCCCCACCCACCTCCCTCCATCAACCCTCAGTTTGTTCTCTGTCAAGAGTTTCTTATGGTTTGCTTCTCTCTCTCTCTTTTTTCCTTCCTATATGTTTATCTGTTTTGTTTCTTAAATTCTACACATGAGTGAAATCATATGGTATGGTATTTGTTTTTCTCTGACTGACTTATTTCACTTAGTGAGGATGTGGAGAAAGGAGAACCCTCTTACACTGCTGGTGGGAATGCAAGCTGGTGCAGCCACTCTGGAAAACAGTATGGAGGTTCCTCAAAAAGTTGAAAACAGAACTACCCTAGGACCCAGCAATCGCATTACTAGGTATTTACCCAAAGGATCTAAAAGCCAGCCAAGTTCCTAAGTGATGTAGTTCAGACATGCTCAGCTTATGAGCTTGGTGACACGACTTGTTCAGGAAGAAATCAAACCCACGTTTAAACCCAGGCCTTCTGACTTAATAGTTTCTGTTCTTTCCATTATAAAATACATTATTAGTCCAAGAGACCATAACAAAGTATTACACTACTCCACAGTGGGACTGGTTTCATTGTCATTATTACTGAACAATGTCTATTGATTGACCCTGAGATGGATTTAAACCCTATGGTAACCAGAGTCTGCACTGGATTCAATTTCACTTTTATTATACTACATAATATCATATTACAATTCACATTTAACAAAAAGGTTTAAATGTAGTAAGAAAGGACCTTCAGTAATCATGTTTCTGTTGGCTCAAATACCCTGGACATTTTCCTGCAGTGCACTTTCAAAAACATATTAAGCAATAAACTACTTTTATGTCATATTAAGTCTTTCTATTCCATTCCACAAAATAAATATTCATTTTCAAAATAAGATTGCATTGATTCTCACAAAAGCATTTTTAATAACATTTACTGCCTCAGCATTTTGAGTTAGAACTGTGCAAAACTCAGCGGTTTTGGTTCACGAGGATAAGTGACCCCTGGCTTTCATGCTGAGTCTCCAAATAATGCAGCATCTAAAAGTGACACTTCAGATGAATTGATTGTGATGCCCGTGGTTCAGCTGTTTAACTAATGTGACTTCCCTTTTCCCAGGTGTGTGCTCCCTCCTCCTCTTTTTGCTCTCTTTTGGTAAATTTAAATACTCTCATCACCCTGGCTGGTCTTTCTATCACACATCAGCATCCAGGAAAAGAGGAAGGAGTGCTTCTCTCTTTTTTTTTTTTAGTTTTTTATTGTTATGTTTGGGAAGAACTGGAACCAAGAGGTGACTGTCCCAATAAAGGGGAATGTAGCACGCACCAGATCCCAAAAACCTGTGCACTTGATTCCTAAGCATGCATCTTGTATTTTTTAGATTGATATTTCTTTTCAAAGGTCATTCAGTTAAATTAAATTCAGCTCTCTAAAGCAGATAGAGCAGTATTAATTTCCCATTATTATAGGTGGTTAAACACCAAGAACTCCAGAGACTGGTCAGTTCTTTAAATGTGACATAAACCAAGGCTAACCTAACCAAAGGCAGACAATGCCGTTAAGTGTCATATTCCACTCTGCTTTCAATTTTGTGATCTTAGAATTTTGAGTATACTTGATATCGAGTGTGAGTAAACATCTCATCCAACTGATCTTAAGAGCAGCAAACCAGTAGCAGTTCGCTAGGAAGATGAGATGAAATATAAATTTTGTAGATGAGTAATATTGGAAAACTTGGAAAATATAGATGTATAGTTGCATCATCAATTTCATTACTGTTAATCACTTTTTAAAACGTTTCTGGAAAGGGGTGACTGTGTTATGGGAAAAGGCAAAAGGTCAGTCTATCCAAAACTTACAAGATATATAAGCTTTATTAATATGTAAGGAAAGGGAGGACAGACTGAATAGTGTATCCCTGGTTAAAACAGTGATTTAACTGTGACCTATAAAAACCTTAACTAGGGGCGCCTGGGTGGCTCAGTCGTTAAGCATCTGCCTTCGGCTCAGGTCATGATCCCAGGGTCCTGGGATTGAGCCCCGCGTTGGTGTGAAGCCTGCTTCTCCCTCTCCCACTCCCCCTGCTTGTGTTCCCTCTCTCGCTGTGTCTCTCTCTGTCAAAAAAATAAATAAAATCTTAAAAAAAAAAAACTTTAAATTTCTCCATGTATGTCAAGGGGATTATTCTATGACAATGATTAATATACACTGATGACAGATTATATTTGCTAATAAAGGATTCATAATCATTTGATCATCAAAACTATCTAGACATTTCCTGCCTTAGGAATTAAGGCTCATAAGCATATAATTCCCTAATTATTTGTATCATCTGAGCACATTTTAATTGAATTATTCATATAATTATGGGAGCTTGAATTTGGCCTAGGAAATAATTTCTGACTTTATTCTGTAGCTCAAAGAAAAGATCTGAGAACACAATTAACCACTGTCTTCAAAGAAACATTCTCTCAAACAATAGCTATATTTTAGCTGCAATTGTTTAATTACCAGATAAGAAATCAAATTAGATTCATGCCAATGACAGTTCCAGATAGCAGCATGCTATACAAATATTTCCTATCTAGTTCTGGGATGTTAAATCTAAACAGAAAATAAATGTGATGTTCAACAGTTAACAGCTTATTGGTTCGTTCAAGACATTGAGTAGTTGTATTTTAAAATTTGCTAAGCCTTATCTTGCTTATTAAATTTAATTTCAGCTCATATTTTAGGCCTCCTAAAATGGTGTTTGTAACATTTAAAATAAATGCATATAGTCTTTATAGTTTGATAAAGTTTCAAAAGTACATTTCCTTAAAATTAATTTTATTTGCATTATTTAAATTCTATGATATCCTGTGACTTAAAAATGATAGTCTGAAATTTTTAAAGCCAGAATAGACATCACTCTTCCTCTCAACACATGAATGAACTATAACTCAGGTTTGGAAAATATATTTATACATATACAAATTTGAAAAATCAAAATCATTAAATGTAAATAGCCCACATTTACATAATTCCTATTTAACCACTCTTTTTTCTAGTGTGTAACTTAATGTAGCATATTGATGTAAAATTTTTGCCATCCTCTTTAAGTGATTCCTAGATTTGTGTTAACTTGGAATTCTCATAATTTAATGCAATTTATTTGCCTCTGCCCAATTATTTGCTCACCAAGTATATCAGTTTTCTACTTAAACTGCTTTCATAAAAATCACCAATCACCTTTACATTGCCAAATTCAATGAAGAATACTCAGTTCATTTTTTAATCTACCCCTTTTCAGTATTTGGCGCTATTGATCACCTTATTTTCCTCCTTTTTTGACAGTTTCCTTAGCTTTCAAACACACTCTTTCCTTGGTTTGTCTCTTACATTCGGAATGCCTTTCCTTAGCTTCCTCGGTAGATTACCCCTCCTTTCACCATTTAATACTGAGGATTCTCAATGTTCTGTTTGCTCATCCCGTTCAATAGCCTCTCCCTTCTGGATGACCTCATTCATACTCATGGCTTCAACGACTGACATACAGTCAATGACTCCCAAATCCATATCCATAGATCAAAAGCCTATATATCCAAACACCTATTAGATATTTTTTACGGGGATGAGTCAGACATCTCAAATTGAAGCTTCTCCAAACTGAACATACAGTTTTTCCGCCACACCTGAATCGGCGGTTATCTGAGCCAGAAACTGATTAAAATTTTTCCCAGTTCTTCAATTTCCTTATCTAGTGGTTCATTAGCTTTTGAATCTGTTCCTTCCTCTTCATCCTCTTTACCATAGTTCAGACCATGAGCATAAATTTACAGCATAATTGAAGAACCTCCTCACCACTCCCTTTGTCTCCATTCTCACCTGGTACATACCATATCCACACATCTGCAAAGGGGATTTTCTGAAGTTGAAACAAGAATTACATGACACTCTGCTCGATCTCTTGCCACATCAACAGGCTGCAGTGTGGGAGGGGTCAGTCCACGCTTGCCTCTCTGGTTTGCATACAGTATTTGCTCAACTTGGAATGCCATTTGGTTCACTCTTACGTTGTTACATGTTGGGTTCAAGCATTAATTACTTGTAAACATTCCCTAACTGTGCAAATGTGGTTAGATGGCATTCCTGGAAACTGTGTTTCTCTATCATGCTTATATTGCCTTTTGCCTTTTTTGGGTAATTGACAACATACTTTTTAATCTTTCTAAATCTATGAATTCCTAGAAGATAGGAACTAGGGCATTTATCTCTACATTTTTTTTTTTTTTTTAGGGTTTTATTTATTTCTTTGACAGAGAGAGACACAGCAAGAGAGGGAACACAAGCAGGGGGAGTGGGAGAGGGAGAAGCAGGCTTCCCGCCAAGCAGGGAGCCCAATGCATGGCTCCATCCCAGGACCCTGGGATCATGACCTGAGCCGAAGTCAGATGCTTAATGACTGAGCCACCCAGGCACCCCTATCTCTGCACTCTTAAAGGTTAACATAATGCAGGGCATCCAGCACACAATCAACCTTTTCTTTCTTTTTTTTTAAGCATTCATCTACTCTTGAGAGCATATTTGTAGATCATATTGGGCAATTTTGTTTCTACTAACTATAAAACAAGGGGCATAAAGTTAAGATAATAGTTTTAAGTATCATAATCTTTCTGTTATGGGGGAAAGAAAAAAGAAAGCTTCTGAATTTATAAAATTGGAAAAATCAATTCTTCTCTTTTAATATGATTTAATTCTGGGTTAAAGCCCTCATCACACATTATAGATGAATTATTCTGTGAAATAAACCACATTATATGTCTTATAAAAATGACTATGTGTTTTACTAGTAGTATATATATAAATACACACACACACACACACACACACATATTTGTGGGAGCATTCCTAGTAAAGAGTAGACTAATCAAAGTGAAAAGAAAAGCATGAAACAGGGACTCAAGGAAACTGACTTCCAACACCAACTTGGTGTGCTCCTTCCTGGGTATCAATGGACAAGTTAATTCCTTTCCCTAAGCTTCAATTTTCAATTTTCTTATATGTAAATGCCTATCTCATAAGACTTGGGGGAGAATTAAGTGAAATTATATGCACATATATACTGGATGTTAAAAACAATTCAAATTTCTGGGGCTCCTGGATGGCTCAGTCGGTTAAGCGTCTGCGTTCAACTCAGGTCAATCCCAGGGTCCTGGGATTGAGTCCTATGTCGGGCTCCTCGCTCGGCGGGGAGCCTGCTTCTCCCTCTGCTTCAGTCTGCTACTCCACCTGCTTGTGCTTTCTCTCTCTCTCTCTGTCAAATGAATAAATAAAATCTTAAAAAAAAAAAATTCAAATTTCTGGGGTGCCTGGGTGGCTTAGTCAGTTAAGCACCTGATCCTTGGTTTCAGCTCAGGTCATGATCTCAGGGTCGTGGGATAGAGCCTCCCCACGAGCTCCCCACTCAGCACGGAGTATGCTTGAGATTCTCCACTTATCCCTCTCCCTCTGCCCCCCACCCCCCAATCACTCGTGTGTGCTCTCTCTCTCTCTTCTTCTGTCTCTCTCAAATAAATAAATAGAATCTTAAAAAAATAATTCAAATTTCTCTCCTTGCATAGTCCTAACAGGGTTACAAATCTTATGAAGGGACAGACATATCGTAGGAATATTAGCAATCTTATCTGTGGAACTACTTAGTATGTTACTATCTTGTGATTTCTCTGTAATAAATAATATAAGAAAAAAGTCTTAACAAAGTCAATTTATAAAAATATCCATGCTTTAGACTGGAGGAATAACATTTAGATGTCATTTTCCTTGGAATCTTCCTCAGGATGGTATGCTACAAACAAATTAGTACAATTCCTACCTGCTAAACCAGGAATATGTCATCCTACTGAAGAATGAAGCATTTTTCTCTGGATTGCATTTCTAAAAAGAAAAACATAACAAGCAGTCTGTGAAGAATATGCCTTTATTTCAAATTTGAAATATCTTTGTCAACAGGTGGAAAAGTAAACATGAAATAATTTCATCTACCAATAGTTGCAGCTATGTTGCTATCATAATCCCTAAGGAATAAAATTAAGATATGAGAATGGTGGTTGGACTAGAGGCATTTTAAGATTTCTCCCAACATTATCATTATGACTCTGTTTACATAGCAAGAAATCATGTAGGAAAGGGAAATCATTTCTGAAATTTCTACTTCTCATTCTCTCTCTCTCTGTATATATATATCTCCTTGAATTCCTATGACTGTGTATATATGTATGTATTTGCTTATGTATACATACATAATTTAGCTCTCTATACAAGCTAAACTTAAAACATTTTAATCACTAAATTAAAGATAGTTTTGTTTTTTTTCTAAAAATATAAAAATAAGAGAATATAATAGGCACTTGGTTTACATCTGTGTGCTTAATTACATATTTTAGTATAAAGGTATAAAGATATAAACATTTATTTATCACAATTACATATTACTTTGGGAGTTTTCAACATTACCATAAAATTCTTCCTGTTGACCTGGTGAGTTCAACCAAAAGAAGGGCTTAAAAAGGCCTCAAAACTAACCATTTTATATTTTTAGAGTCAGCACCAATGTCTATATTTTAAAAAAGTAAAACTGATCACCACAGTAAAGTTCATTATGAGAAATTGTCCATATTTAACAATTTTAGCACTGACCCTCTCTAATCCAGTTCTGATCTCAGACATAAAGTGTTCACTATGTTTAAAAAAATTCTTATCCTAGAAGGAATTTGTGCAACAAAATTCCAACCTATACAGCAAAATGTCCTGAGAAAACACTGTTCACTCCAAATCTGTTCTCTGAGTTATAGCAAATGATCTACTATAAATCATTTACTCAATTGCTATCTATCCTTATATTATTGTTGAAAAAAGTAAATGCAATGACAGATGTAAAACCATCATCATACTTGGCACATGTGAACTGTATCATCATCACTACTATTACCAAACATATTATTTGGAAAATAAGTGCACATATTGTGGAGAATGTTCTGAAAATTCTTGAATTAACCTGCAAGTCACATTTTATTTCACAGGGAGTTGCCAACTTTTTAGCACCAAGCAAAGATCGTATTCACCTCCGAAACACACGCATTTCTGTGGCGGATTGCAAATGGCTACAGATCTTTAGCAGCTTTTCCCATCAAGAGGTAAACGCTAGTCTCCACCCCTTGAAAATTTTGATCATGAAAATGCCACAAGAGTGACACCAAGAGAGCTTCAATTCTAAGTGTCGAGAGGCTTGCTGTGCTCAGAACCCTGAGTGCACCATGTGTCTGATGCTGAGCTGGCCTGCTAGAGGATGAGAGACCCCATAGGAGAGAAACGAGGTGCCCATCTGACAGGTCCTGGCTTGGAACAAGTGCTAGACATAGGAGTAAATTAGTCCTAGACGATCCTGTCACCAGCCAACTTTCCAGTTGGCTTTAGTGCCTGAAAGAGATCAGCAGAGATCAGCCAAGCTGACCCAAACCAGGTCATGACCCAATTGATCCAGAGAATCATGAGCTAAGTAAAAAAAAGGTGGTTGTTTTCAGCACCCATATCCAGCAAAGCTACTAGAGAGGGTTATTTTAGCAGACCCAAACCTCGGTATTTGATTTAACATTCCCTCTAGGTCCATTTTCCAAGTGAAAGCATCTCATATGAAGCCCTTTGAGTCCTTTAGTAAATAGCCTCCTTAGATGTGGGCCAGGCTTCTTACACTGAATTTATCACGTAAATTACAAATTTACCTCCCAGAAAAAAATTACAGTAGACAGGTAAAATATCTGGTGAAGGTAATAAGCCTTATCAAGCACCAAGAATATACAAATGACTTTTCAATAAATACTGAATGCACAGCATGGGTCTCACTGAGTTCATTATTGATATATTGCTACAAAGTAACTTCTATGTAGAAAACCAAGACAGGACAATTCTAAGAGTGATAAGGAAAATCTGTGTCCTAGGATGGCCCACCGAGCCAGCGAGAGACTCCCAGTCCCTGCCCCGAGGCTCTTCCGGTTCTTCTCCCTGCTCTGCTTCCCGCGCGGGGGCTTTCTCCCAGCCCGGATTCACGAATGCGCCAAGTATGCGGAAGTGTATAAATTACCCCCTTTGTTTGAGCTCGGGGCTCAGACCTTTGGAGATCACTCTTCTCTGAGCCCGCTGGCGTTAATTAAACCTCCTATCCTCCAAGATCTCCGAGTGCCCTTGGTTCTTCCATCAGGCGATCCAGTCCAGGTTCCATAACAAGAGTATCTTCCAGTGTCTTCATTTACTCCCATCTTGTCCATTAAACATTTCTCAGTCCTTCTAACTCACTTATCTCACTCTGACAACACTTCTGGTCTGCAGACCTAACTGACCCCAGTGTTTCCATTTCCCTTGTTGCCCCAAGCCCACTACAGGCCTTTGTTTTCTAATCCATTTTCTTATCTATTATACTTACCTACCATTGCAGGTATAGCAGGTATCCTATCAACATACCTTAACACTGCTGACTTAAGGGCAATTTTCATTTGAACGGAGGTCCTGTTATTTGTGGATTATGATGAAGGGGCAGGAAATTTTTAGACCATGAGACCACACCATAGCCAGGCTCCAGGATTAGTGAAGTGTTTTGCTTTCAATCTTCCTTGGGTTCAACCTTGAGATGTGGTCCCACGAGGATATGGTTTGTGCGACTGCTACATTTAACAGTATCTCATAAAGCCTAACTTCAGGAACTTCCTTTGTGCATACTGGAGCAAGGTTCTGGGATTGGTGGAGGAAGTCAGGGGAAGTGGAAGGACAGCCTCATGGAGAAGGGAAAACCCCCAGAAATCAAAAATAATTTATGTTTCTTAATCACTTATTATGTGCCAGATTCTGTATGAAGTATATTATCTCATTAAATACAACATGTCTGTGGGGCTCCGACTGCTCAGCCGGTTAAGCGGCGGCCTTTGGTTCAAGTTCTGGGATCAAGCCCCGGCAGGCTCCCTGCTTAGTGGGGAATCTGCTTCTCCCTCTGCCTCTCCCCCCTGCTCATGTTTCCTCTCTCTTTCTCAAATAAATAAAATCTTATATATATATATATATCTGTCATGTCTTTGTGGTGAAACCATTTTTGTCAACTCCATTTTACAGTGGAGGAAACTAAGGCCCAGAGTTTAAGAAACTTAAAGAAGTTTAAGAGATTGGATCTAATCCAGTTAGTCCATTCTATCTTCCAGTCCTAATTCCACACTCTCAACTCTACCTGTTACAAGCTGCTGCTACTGAGTTATCTTTCCTCCTGCCCACATCCTTCTACTTCACTTCCGGCTAATTCTCACTTGTACTTCAATCCTATTTAAGATTTATTGCCTTTGGGAAAGAAAAAAAAATTATTGCCTTTGGTAATTCCTTTCCTCCCATCCTAGCCTTCAAGGCTTTGTTGACCTGGTGAGTTCAACCAAAAGAAGGGCTTAGGACTTATATTCTTGTTCTGGGTTACCATAGCAATCTCAACATATGCCTCGGGAGGATTTAAGGGACTCTTCTGAACTGTCTTCACTGAATGTACCCTCACTCTTTCCTGACTATCAAATCATTTGCTGACAGGTGCTTCTCTCTTGCTAGACTTAGTTCCTCTGGAAGACAGAAAACTGTATTCGATTTATCTTTGTATTTTCAGTTTTAGCGCAGGGCCTAGTTCACAATAAACATGTTGGGGGGGTGAATGAATGGCCCCCGCTAATCACAAGTATTTAGAAGTATTCTATTCATAGGTCACCATGCCAACGCTAGAAACTATCAGAAAGTCATGTTCTTAGCTTATAAGTAGGTGGGATTTTTCTCTGAGATCTATTATGTCAAAATATAGTCTCAGAATGAAATCATATAAGGTTTTCAATATGCTTTGAAGCCATCAACAATTTTTTTTAAAATTGGCATCATTAAGTAACAAAAAGAAAATGCGATTAAAACTAGTATTTTTAGTCTCTGTCTAAATGGATTCCTGGTCCATAAAGCTATCCAGGTTGAATAATAGCCAAGGATGTAAACATTGTTGGAATCCTACAGGAAGAACTGACTACAATTGTGGGTGAGAGAATTGTTTGAGTTTTATAATTTCCCACTCTATTAAGTTTGTGATTCACTGCCTTTGGCCACTTCTGTAGTTGCACCAATGATGTTAAACCCATTTCCCTGCTTAAGCCTGCCATCTCTCCTGTAAAGTTAAAAAAAAAAAAAAAGGTGTATTGTCCTGGTGGAGCTCTTTCGCATTTTCAAGGGATTTATTCAACATCTATATTTTATAGACTTTTAAAAAGAATACTTTACATATAATTTGCTTTACTTTTAAAGACATTTATAGTTTCATTTTATATGTAATTAGAAGAATGCTGTCATATTTGACACTTGGAGCCACTAACAAGAACCAGGATTAAAACAAGATCCCTGACCCTGAATTTTTCTTTCTCCTTTTTAGAATTACAGAACTACTTATGTGAGGGGCTATTTCTAAGACTTTGTCTTGTACAGTGGTGAAAAGCAAAACAAGTGGAATTTTTGTTAGGGAAATTGCTCCTAACACACCACTGCAGGGTTGGTTGCCCTGTACTACGGTCCTAGCACATGACTTCTATTGTGGAAGAAGCACGTGTTAATCATGGGGGCAGAGCAAGGCACAGTTAAGTGTCTGCAGTTTCTGGATTGCCCCAACCGCAGTTTCCCAATACCCGGTCAGTTAACACCTGTCAGTTAACCCCGTGATATTTATGCCGAATCTCCCCCCTGCAGTTTCGGTGGGTTCTGCCACTGCTTGTGGAATTCCATCCCAACCTCTCCTCCTCCACGGATGCCAGGTCCATTCATTCTTTTCTCAAATGCTTGTTTCTGTTGATGGGGGAGTGTTTCACCCCTTCAAAGAAGCCTCTTTCTCTCCTCCAGCAGCCACCTTGACTGAGATCTTGATGGTTCAGATTTCACATCATCCTGAGGACTGGTGTCAGCTCTCACGACTGCGCGCGCATTGTGTGTGTCTGTCCGTCTGTGTGTGTGATTACTACTACTAAAACGGGGGCTCTAAAACATCAGCTCACAGGCCAGCGTCCGAACCCGCGGCTCTCCCCCACCGGGATCCCTCTCCCCACCCAGAGTGGCGAAGACCGCCCGCCTCCCCCCAGGGTCCCCCAGGACCAATGAGCATTACCTGCGCCTCAGGCCCCTCGGGGACCCGCCCGTAGTCGCGGCCGTCGCCCCACCTCCGCAGGCTGGAAAACATGGTCCGCGGGCGCCTGGCGAGGGGAGGCGGGGGGTAGGTACCGAGTCTGTTACCTCTCTCTCGGCTGGGGTCCGCCGGTCCGGCGCCCAGAAGTTGGGAGGACGCGAGCACTCAGCCAAACGTAGTTGGCTGTCGCCCTGCCCTGAGCCGGCCCTTCCCGGGAGCGCGTCCGGGGCGAGGCAGGGGGCGGGAGCGAGGCGGGAGGACCCTCCCGGCCCCGGGCGGGCGGGGAAGGGGCGGAATGAGCAGAGGCGGGACCTTCTGTAGAGGGCGATGATCTCTGCCTCTGGGGCAGTTTGCACTTGACTCAGTAAGTTCTCCACTCCTCACTTTGCAGGATTGCTTTGTTAGAAAATGTTTCTTTTCTTTCTTTCCTTCTTTCCTTCTTTCTTTCTTTCCTTCTTTCTTTCTTTCTTTCTTTCTTTCTTTCTTTCTTTCTTTCTGTAGACTTTATTTGTTTGACAGAAAGAGCACAGGCGAGGGGGAGGAGCAGAGGGAGAGGGAGAAGCAGGCTCCCCACTGAGCAAGGAGCCCAACGCGGGGTTCCATCCCAGGTCCCCGGGATCATGACCTGAGCCGAAGGCAGAGGCTCAACCGACTGAGCCACCCAGGCGCCCCTTCTTTATGATAGAAGCACAAAGCTCATTTCTCCCTGGGATGACATGTTTATAAACAGAATATTACAGCGGTCCGGAACAGAAAACTGTTAAGAGCAACAGGTGTCAGTAGAACTTTATTGTCAGTAGAATTTTATTGCAATGACTTTAAAATTAGAAACAAATGAAATACTTCCCTTAATACTTCCTAATATTAGGAAACCATAACAGTATATGAAATCTAAATGTTACTCTTCATATTAGTTATAAAGCAACATAATAAATGAAAAACTTCGTAGTAACTAGAATCAGCAAAGGGCTAAATGAGAAACATGACATATAAAAGGGAATATGAATATTAAGGATGGCATTTGAGTTTTAATAACTTGACAAACCATGAGCCTTGTATAAAGTACTGATGTATGCAGTACTTTGAGAAAGATCTGCTGACCCCTGAGATGTGTCATTGGTCTGAGAAAATATTTTGTTTCAATTTACTTAGGACCTGAAGCAACAGGAGTAATTTTATTTTAATTTTGCTTGAACTCCTGACCCTGAGATGAAGAGTGGCATGCTCCAAGACTGAGCCAGCCAGGCATCCGAAGAGGGAGTAATTTTAGAAATTCTGAATAATGGGATAAAGATAAAGCAATGTGATAATTTCACAAGGATGGGTAATTACGTTTTGGGACTAAGGAAGATTCTGTCTGCATCTTGAAATTAATGTTAGAGGTACATGGAAAGAATTGAGATTTAGGGGCGCCTGGGTGGCTCAGTCATTAAGTGTCTGCCTTCGGCTCAGGTCGTGGTCCCAGGATCCTGAGATCAAACCCGGCATCGGGCTCCCTGCTCAGTGGGAAGCCTGCTTCTCCCTCTCCCACTCCCCCTGTTTGTGTTCCCTCTCTCGCTGTGTCTCTCTCTGTCAAATAAATAAATAAAATCTTAAAAAAAAAAAAGAACTGAGATTTAGGATTGAAGAAAGCCTGTTTCCTGGAGAAAAAAGGCCCATGGATGATACCTGGAGGAAATTTTGGCTTGCCAATAGAATGGGCCAAGCTGTGAGGAACCAGACAATTTCTATATAAGGATTAGACTAAATGATTCATCATAGAATTAAAGTTCTGGGGGATGTTTAGAATACAGTTTATTTGGCTTTCTTCCTCTCTTTAGACCATATTTGTCTGGCCCTTTGCAAAGAGGAAGTTGTAGATTTTAGTTTGAAACAAATGTGTTTGTGAAGAATTGAGGTTGCAGCTTGGGATTTAGAAACTTTGTCTCACTTCTTCCAGAACTTTACACAAACTCAAGTGCAATCTGGGGACATTTCATATTCAACAGCCTGGCCTGAGGGGCCCCTGCTCCATCTGTACTTATAAAATGCTCACTGTGTGGATTCCATGTGGAAAATAGGAGATCTTTGTAGAGTTAGTCCTTGCTTTTCAGATACAAGGAAAGAAGGAACTTGGAACCTGCGCCTCGGAGGAGGAAGCCAGGAAGAAGCCTAAAAATAGCTCAGGCTTTAAATTCAACATGTGTTTTCCTCCCTCTTCTTGGAATCAGTCCCCTCAGAAAAGGCTGGTGTTCTGGCAGCTGAAAGCAGACAGATTTCTATACACACTCTAATATAGACACACAATCCACTGATCGGTGGGAGGAGGCAGAGATCCCCAAGGTAATTCATTATTAGTAAGTTATTATTAAAGGTGAGAGAGGGCTATCGGTGCGTTGGGGAACTGGAATGGTGAAGTCTCCACTCAAAGGAATTGGGGGAAAAATCTCTGGGAGCGCCACAGGATTCCATTTTAAGTTTCTCCATTTTGAAGGAGGCTCAAGGTAAGACTGTGCTAATAAGGAAGGCATTAGAGTTTTCAAGAAAGGAATGACCATTTTCATTGCTTCAATGAAAAAAACAGTAAAATATTCAGATTTGCCTAGGCAACAGAAAGTATAAAATAAAATGACCTTGACATAAGCAAAGCATTGCTGCCAAGATAGCATTCTATCACTGAATTCTCACACCAGCTGAATTGTGAAATAAATATTTCCTCCTCAGGAAAAAAAAAATCATGGAAAGATGGAATAAAAGGGCATGTGGGTTTAGTAATGGGTGGAGCATGTTTTATGTCACAGTATTCCATTTTTTTTTTAAGCTCATTTTGAGGATTCTTTTTTTTAAGATTTTATTTATTTATTTGAGAGAGACAGAGAGAGAGCACACAAGCAGAGGGGGCGGCAGAGGGAGAGAGAGAGAAGCAGAGGAGCCCGATGCGGGGCTCAATCCCAGGACCCTGGGATCATGACCTGAGTCAAAGGCAGACGCTTAACCGACTGAGCCACCCAGGCGCCCCAATTTTGAGGATTCTTGTCCTCCCAGCGATTCTGTTCTTACTTTACGAGTTCTGCAGGCACTCAGCTCATCCTTTCTTGTTTAGAGCTTCACAGATCAGGGTCAGAATCCCTGAGCCTGATTAGAATAAGCCTGGAAAGAAAGAGCTGCGTGTTTCCCAGTTAGCTGAGCAAATGGTTGTCACTGTGGCAGAGAGGGGAGAATTCTTTTCCTCAAGGCAACTGTAGGTTGTGTTTGTATACAGGGTGGAGTCTGGAGTAGACATTATTTTCACTGTCCTTGTTAACCTTGGTATTAAAAATTGAATTAATAGTACTCTTCAGTTCATGGCATACTACCATCATTTTGTGAAGTACCATTTTTATTTTGTTTTATTTTCTTTTATTTCCCCACTGACTGAATTTCCAACCCATTTATTACCCACCATAAGTCATTTAACTGGAGTGACACAAAAGTATACAAATGGCATTTTCTTATGCAGTCATTACAATACAATTCCTTCCCTCCCCCCCTTATTTTTTAACCTATTATTGTGAGGCCATGCAGTACTCACCTATTGTTCCTGACTTCTCCGTGGTGCTTTGTTCTATGCAAATACCACAATTTAGAAGAACTTGAAGGTGATTAAGCACATAGACTCTGAAGTAAGACTTCAGGTTAAAGTTCAGCTCCACCATTTAAGAAGTGGAAGATGAAAGCAAGTCATTTAACTTCTCAGGGCTCACTTTCCCATCTATAAAATGGAAGTGATAGAGATGCCTTCTTCATAGATTTGTTGTAAGGATGACATAATTCAATCATATAATAAGTAAAGCACTTAGGACAGCAAGAGCACATGGTGAATATTGAATGAATTATTATGATGATTATGACTTACCTAGTCACCTAGTGAACAAGATGTAGGCTAAGTCCAACTCCTTGCTCCCTTGGTCAGTGCTGTGAGGAATATCTCTCTGAGGACTGGTGTGTAACTTTCTCTTAGACCAAGAGATCTAACTCAAACTTTTTGGACTCGGGAACTCTTTACATTCTTCTAAATTATTGAGTACTTAACTAACTTCTGTGTATATGGAGTATCTCTATGGATATTCACTATGTTAGAAATTAGTGGAGACTTTAAAATTTTTTACTTATCATTTTATTTAAAGATAATAATAAACCCATTACATGTTTTCATTAATGATAGGTTAGTTATGAAAAGTAGCTATATTTAAAGAACGAAAATTTTTTCTGAGAATACTGACATTGTTTTACATTTTCTTTTCCTTTTTTTAGAAAAAGATGTGAGAGTGAGAGGGGTGGGGAGCAGGGAGAGGGAGAGAGAGAATCTTTTGTTGTTGTTGTTAAAGGTTTTGTTTAGTTTTTTGTCAGAGAGAGAGAGCGCGTAAGCGGGGGGGAGCGGCAGGCAGAGGGAGAAGCAGGCTCCCTGCTGAGCAAGGAGGCCGATGCGGGACTCGATCCCAAGACTCTGGGATCATGACCTGAGCCGAAGGCAGCTGCTTAACCAACTGAGCCACCCAGGCATCCCATTATTTTACATTTTAATGTCTGGTTTGGTAAAAGATGGTGGGACTCCCATACCTGCGTCTGTGTTCAACCTATTATAATAGATGCTTTTGATTGAAGTAGATGAAGAGAATCTGGCTTCCTACACATATGTAGTTGGAAGAGGTAGATTAATTTGTTGCTTTTCGGGTAGTTCTGGGTATTTTTCTTTGACAGAACAGCAAAACTCTGTTAGTTTCTTAAAAGTTAGTTGCAGTGTAGAAGCTGAAGCCCTATCAGTAAACTTTTTGTGCTACATTAAAATTCATCGGTCTCTCTTGCATTTTGAATGAGTCTTTTATAACTATGATTTTGTAACATGATGTCTTGGTTATTTGGAATATATTAGTTCCCTGAGTAATGAATATCTTCCAAATGTTGACACATATCATTATGTAATATCAAAAAAAGTTTATTGATATCACCACCGATGTCATCAAAAAACTCTTTAAATATAGGAAAGCTGTCAAGCTCATAATGCTGGTAGTCTAAAATACTGGTAGTCTAAAATA